AGTGACTACGTGAGAGAAAACTCTAGGTAAACGATAATCTTAGAACTGATTGAATCAAACGAGGGACATGGAAGATGGCAAGTTAAAATGGTAAAGAAGAATCATATAACAGTGTAGAGGAAGCGCAGTGAAATAAGTAGAAGAGAATAAAATGATGGCGGATGTTGGTATGAGCGCGTGTGGACTACGGAAATACATGTGTTATGTACCACTAACCAATAGTATGACACTCTCTCTAGTCACAAAGTATTGTATTTTATATTACTAATTCTTGGAACGTTTGACATCAAAGTTGAACCTTTATGTTGACAAGTAAAACTTAACAAACGGCGCTTGTAAATCGAAAAATAGCGTCATTGCAGTTGTCAGTTATTTTTCTTTCCAATAACTCATTGATTTATATTCTAGAACGACCTTCGACAGCTATCAAAATTTCTCACATAAAGCTTTCTATCCAATGTTTCCGTATTAATCTGTTTTTTTTCTGTAGTATTTAGAAAAAACGGTCTCACCATTCATTCTTAAAAAAACAATTATCGATACCGTCTACATATCCGACACGCGACAATTTTCCTAAAGACCTACGTGTTGGTTTGAGTTGATTCAGTTTACGATTTCCCTCCGAAACGATAAAAAAATATCTATACTCTTCTGGTTCTTCTACATTTACGTCCTCTCTGTACATCTTTATGTTCGTTTTATCCGTCCTTCTAATACATCGTTTTTCTTACATTCTATCTCTGTACGCCCTTTTAATATCTCTCGTCATGCTATCTGTAGCAGTTCAAGTGCTCCAGAGACTCCAGAGATGCTACATCAACGCTGCAGGGTGTGGGTGTGGGGTGTGGGTGTTATTCACTGGAATACATACCCACACCCCACACCCACACCCACACCCACACCCACACCCACACCCACCCACACCCTGGTTGCTTGAAAAAGAATGTATAGAAAAATGTGCACAAAGAAATGCTATGACTATAGTATGATTTTATTTCAGATTTTTGCCGTATTTTAGACTTTCCTTGAAAAAAAACTTGCTAATCTTTATCAAGCTTTTCAGAAAAAATTATAGAGCGGATTATATGAGTGAATTGGCTCTTGAACTTTGTTGCAGTGGGTGAGTGTAATGTCACTAAAATTATCATAAATTTTGCTCTGTTTTTGGCAGCAACGGTGCCTGCTGCCTAGAATGCCATCGATCAAAATCGGATAATGAGCGAAGAGCACAAGAGACCACGAATGAACCGCATGAATCCATTGTACGTGGATCGAATGCACCTGTAACCGTTGCACCTACTCAATCCTCACCATTTTCACATGCTAATTGACCAATATACCACGATTCAAACAATTTGTATTGTTTTTAAGTTTTTTTCTTCTTGCTGAATGAACTTGCACTAACTTTACATATATTGTCTTTTCCAACTGATAAAAAAACTTTCGATCAATATAAACTGATCATATCTCACGCTTTTGAATTCGATAGATACAAACTGAATAAATATGGTATTGGTGCAGCATTGGAATACGAGTGTGTTGGGTCTATGAATAATTGTGAGTGTAGCTATGCCTGTGCGCTATGGACGGAACTGTCATATCTTCATTTTCAAATGGAGCTTACTAGATTTCGAATGGAGTGCAATTAATCCTCGAACGGTGTCGTCATTGTGTCACACAAAAGGTTTGAATGTGAATGAAAGCTTTTTCGATGGACTCAACCCACACCCTTGAGATTAATATCTCTTGGATAATAGCTTAAATGCCACTGTTCACAATTATATCGTCAACAACCATTGATCTTTAAGTTCGACAGACATAATAAAAAATAAATAAAATTGAGGTCGATAATTATATGAAATATCCTTTATAGAAGTGATGATGCAGGACTTTGTCGTAGTTTTCGTAAAACGATTTCGATTAATGAATCTCATTCCAATCATTTCTATTAATTGAAACTTGATACTTAGATGGCAAAAAAACTGTAGAATAAATCAAAAAATTCTATGAACTTTGTATTACTTCTATTTCTTTAGCAATACTGAGTGAAAAAAATATAGTTTTCTTCGTTAATTAACCGTTGTTTCTATCGTAATTATGATGTTTCATAATGTTCTAGATTGGTGAAAATACAATTAAATCGGCAAAAATGTTCGGTTCAGACGTTTATTCCGACGTCTCAATCAACAATAATGCGATTAGTCGCATTAGATTCAAAGTAAAGCTCCAACATGTGTCCCAGAAAGAAGAAGAATCAATAATATTTATTTATCCTTGTTTATACTATTTTCAGCCAATTTTCGAGCAAAAACAGTGTGGGTGAAGAGAAGACTCACACCCGACACCCACATCAACACCAAAATCGTTAATAAATTCTTTTATACAAATTTGGTATTTCTATGTGTCATGACTAATTCGACATTTTTTTAGGAGGATCCGCATATAGAATTTCTTGAACAATAGAGATCATTCTCGTTTATTTCCAATTGAGAAGTCACTGTTTTATTTCCAGTGAGTTATATGTTTGCCTTGTAAAACAAAACGCAAGAGAAAGTTGATATCGAAAAAACATGAGTCAATTTTTTGTTTTCTTGCCGTGTTATTTTTCCCTCATTCTCAGTTTTTTTTATGAATCAAAGTCTTTTCGATAAATCGATTCGTCTATCTGGCATCACTTTCATCTCTTTTCTTGGAGTATTTACAGCCATTTGAAAAAAACAAAGATTATTTTTTTTCTCTCTCTCTCTCTCAGTTTTTATGTATACATATATATATACAACGTTTTGATACTATTCACTCATTTCATTTTACAACATAATCGTTTCTGTTTGATAAATCCTTTTCATCTTATATAAATAAACTATCATTCAAAAGTCACTTGACTCTTCACGTTCCTTAATATGCACCGCACAACTACAGCGAATCTTATGGCCTGTACCGAATATGCAAGCAGTCTTAGTCTTCATCGTCGGAATAGTGGCAGTAGGAGTCCTAATAGAGTTGACAAATATTACAGAAAAAGATTTTTTGATGATGAAAATTACGAATCAATACTCGAATGTCTTGATGGTGGTAAGTTTCCTAGATCACTGATCCACTAAGATTTCTCCTTCAACTTCTTTTTTTTCTAGGTTATCAAGTCTTAAAAGATTTACTTCAATACATGGAAGGTTATTGCAAAGTTGAAAAAAAAAATATTTCGAACATTACTTCATATTCAAAAAAATGGACTTCTAAAATACAACAACAACCATTACTTTCATCATATAATACAACTAAAGATGTACAATTAGAAGTAATTCGTACACCTGAACGTCATGTTGAACTTATAAAAGCTCGTGTTGAGAGTATTCAAGAAATTATTGCCACATATCGTACAGAGATGCAAAGAATATATCCACGTGGACGTTTAAGTATTAGTCGTAAACATTATCAAGTAGATGCAATGAGAAACTTATTTAAAGATGCCTATTCATTAGTATCCAATGCATCAAGTAAACTTCTAGACTTGCGTGAAGAAGAAACACTAATGCTAAATAATTTGCGCGATGCTGATTTTCAATATGAGCACAAAATTGCAAATGCACAGGAAAATAGAACGAAACTTCAAGAGAAATTAAAATCCATTAGAGAAAAAATTGCACGAGCTGAGAAAGAATGTAGTCGACAACAAGAAATTTATCGTAAAAGTGCAATGGATATTTATCAAAGATGTCGAAGATTGGAAAAAGAACGATTGGATTTAATTCGAGAAACTCTGATCAAATTCATTAAGACTGCCTTTTCATTTGAAAATGTAAGTGCACAAAGTCAAATCTATGAAGCACTTAGTTCGATGCTCCAAAATCAACAAAACACTTCCGAAGATCTGGATTTTTGGGCACGAAATTATGGTGTGTACGATTCAACAACATCTCGATCATTTGTAATGAATCCTACAAATGATGATCATAATGAAAGAAACTCTAATGAAACAACTAGTCAAAAACCGAAGAACTCGAAAAAATGCGAAACGGTAGATCGCACAACGACAGACATATATGTAAATGAATTAAGAATTGAACATGATGAAGTTGAAGATGACAATTGAATAACAGATAGAGTCGTTATACTTCAGTAAAAATGAACAATTACACAACCGTAATCCAAAAAAATGATATTAGATTTTAAAACATACCACATGAAATGCTAATAGACTGGTTTACGTACAATACATATTTTCAGCATATTTATTCTTTTATTGTATTCATCTTGTTGATTAATAATATATTTGTTTTCAAATAAAATATCAAAATCAGATATTCTGAAATAAAAGTCTCTCTATTAAACTAATAGACATTGTCATTGCGTTTATTGATAGAAGTATTTTCGCTCAAGTTTAAATATACAGTCATATTCTATTTCTGACGTCTTCATGTAAATCGCTGATACATATTTTTTTTGACTCGTACAATCAAAGCTTAGTCGTTAAAAAGCTACACAAACAGCATAAGCTAACTTTCAAAAAAACGATTTCGGTTTTTTTGTTATTTTTTGTTATCATTACCTATAAGAAATCAGAGGGTGTGAGTGTGAGTGTTGGTGTTCGTATTCTTTTCACCCACAACTACGCACACCCCTCTGGAATACAGGAGCTATGGCACTTTTAGGAAATCTTATTCTTATGAGCTTAATCGAATTATATGTGATATAAAGTATCGAAAAGAAGCTTTCTCGGTGAAATAGATATGCGACAATACTGCATATAGAAGTTTCGTTGATATAATTAAATGTGTGAAAGTACATTAGAATTTACTTATTTATTTTGTTTCTCGCTTAAAAGAACAAACTAATTATTAATCCATTCAAATTCTTTTTGTATGTTTATGTAACTTCTTAAGTATATTTCTTTTGAAAATAGCCCTAAATTCGGAGAAAAGTCTAAAACTATACGAAAATCCATGGGATTAAGAAAGGAACTGAAAAGCATTTAGTAATCTTGAATTGAATTATAGAAACACTTTAACAGACTTAAATTGGATTATGTAATAGCATAAGAAAGATGCAGCTCGATATTTGACAAACGGGTCGCAATAGACTGTGGTTATTGTCTGTGTCATCTTTCTCTTCATTCGCAGCCACATTCACAGCTGTACACCGAAACTCGCAAGCCTACAGTCAATTTCGAACCGTATATTAGATGTCGAAGGGTGTGGATGTGAGGTATGAGTGTCTTGAAGCAAGAAACGCCTGCACCTACACCCACCCACCCACCCACACCCACACCCACCTACACCGACACCCACATCCCACCACACACCCACACTGTACACCCACATACCCACACACCCACACCCATACCCATATTCACACCCTCATTAAAAAAATTTTGTAGATTATGCTCTATTAAATGGACGACATTTTCCATAAAATATAGGTACGCTAGAAGCCAATTTTTAATGCATCTGAATATTAAAAACAAATACAATCATTTTCTACAAATCTGAAAAAATTGAAGATTAATGTATTCGTGTCTTTGTTGTTCATACCCAATGTAAAGATGCAACAAATTAGGCAGATGAGTCTTTTTTTGAAGAGATATTGTTCACTATAATCCCATGTGCCGTTTCTAGATGAAGAAGCGTGAGACGAGGAAATGTAATCAATGCAGCCAAATTTTGTTTCTCTTTTTGTGGTTCATCATTATATACATACAAGAATTCAAGACAAGGAAAACATTGAGATATGAGTTGGAAAAATTTATGTTCAAAAGGGCGTTCGTCAAGCATCATCAAATATCGAACTTTATGAAATATACCACCTGGAAAAGAATTATCAAGTCTGATAAAATATTCGAACCCATACGGAAATGAATAGACATGGCATCTGCCTTCGGCATTCATTGATCTATTACAGACATAAGAATCAACTTGACCATATCTTGTTCCGATGAAACTTCGTTGAATATCTTCATTCGATGAAAAATCAGTCGCAATATTCTTGTTGGCAACATAATAAGTATCTATACTGAACGTAAATTTGTTTAGTCGTGGGATATAAATAAGAATTTCATCATATGATTTAATACCATCAATATAAGTCGAGTCACGTCTGCCTACTGTCAAATATAATATTAATTCTTCAAGATTTATCATTCGACGAAGTAATGGAACAATTAGATTGTCATAAGCGACTATGTAATTAAATGACGTTAGTGAAAAACATTTCAATTTGGGAAGCTTTTTCTATAAAGAAAAAGAAATTAAGAATGTCTATAGATTTTGTTTAGTGTTTTTTCGTAAAGTACAATAATCGAAATTATAATTACCATGTTATCTATGTTTGATAATGTATAGGAAATTCTTTTCACATAGATAAATAACATCGATAAACAATCCAGACGTCCACCAAGAAGATAAAGACAATCATCAAAACTGTCGACATTGATTTCCAATTTGCTTAAAGTTGAAGACATACAACTTGCTGATGGTAGCTCAAAAACACGAAAAGGCAATTTTCGATGAGAAAAAAAGCAACCAAAATTCAACTTGATTAAACATTTACATGAAGACATAATCGATTTAAAAATATTTGATCGAGTTTCAGAAAATTCTATTATTGTATCGTTCTCAATATCGATTTTAAGATGTGTGATTTGTTGAATAAGATGGTCATGAAGAATTGAATCACCTTCAACTTAAAAAAAAATGATTACTACTTTATATTTAATCATTTCATTATTTTGTTAATTTAAATGAACACAGTTAAACAATATACCTGTTAAATATTGAAAAAGCGTTTCTTCATAGAAGTTGATAAGTGACAACCAATAAAGTTGAGGATAATTGACAGTATGAAGAATATGCTTTATTGAATATGGTTCAACAGTGAGTGTATTTACGTGATCATGAACTAGAGGTAACACTTTTTCACAAATTCTTCAAAGAACCTGATTGTCTATTGAAGAGACACGACCAAACGATGAGTTGATGCTCATATCAAGATGACGAATATAAAGAACATCAAATACTAATCGATCAAAACGTTCATTGACATCCGCAAGTGAATAGAATGGGTGTGGGATGTGGGTCTGCGTGTGCGTTATGGTCTGGGTTTTCTCTTTACCAACAACCACACCTCACACCCATACTCATTCACACCCACACTCACACCCCACACCCACCCACCCCACACCTACACACACCCTTCTTCTACACGTAAGGGTAGATTACTCTACGGGGCCTGTGGAAGGGTTTATTATTCTACACATAAGCGTAGATTATTCGACGGTTGCAGCAAAAGGATAGATCACTCAACGGTTTTAAGAAGTGGATTTATTATTCTTCGTCTAAAGGTAGATTATTCTACGATTACAGACAACGGAGTTTATTATTCTACGTCTAAGGCTAGACCATTCCACAATTATGGAAAAGAGAATTTCTTATTCTACGTCTAAAGGTAGGTCATTCCACCATTATGGAAACAAGGGTTTATTATTGTACGCAGAAGGGTAGATTATTCTACGATTATGAAAAAAGGGTTTATTATGCTACGCATAAGAGCAGATTATTCTACGATTACAGAAAAAGAGTTTATCATTCTACATCTAAGGACAGATCATTCTACCATTACGGATACAAGAGTTTATTATTCCACACAGAAGGGTAATTTATTCTACGATTATGGAAAAAAGGTTTTATTATTCTATGTTCACAGAAGCATAGCGGTAGATTATTCTACAATAATGAAAAAACGGATTAACTATTCTACGCATAAGCATAGATTATTCTACAATTACATATAAGGGTTTATTATCCTACATCTAAGGCTAGGTTTTTACCATTATGGAAGAAAAGATTTATTATTTTCGAATCGGGGTAGAGCATTCTACGACTACAGAAAAGGGATTTATTATTTTACATTCAAGGGGAGATTGTTCTACGTTTCAGAATAGATTACTCTATGCTTAAGGGTAGATTGATCTGCGACTTTCTTAAGAGGATAAAATGGTTTATTCCTTCACTTTTAATCGTAAATTATGCTACATTTTCGTCAGAAAATTCTTGAGTATTTTACATAGAGAAAAGTTAGTGTACGATGATAACAAGTCTTACCATAATCCTCCTTTTTAGATTCGTTAAGTAAGAAGATGATATTATATATGCTTAGCCGCTTGTTGTTTTCTGTAATCATTTCTCTGAGAGATGGCTAACATTTTTCTAAAATTATTTCGACTGTCACAGATTGATGACCTCATCTATCGAACAATTCTGCAATTAGTTGAACAAACTCGCTGTATGTAAGCCACTGATGTAAAGAAAAGGATTACAGTTGAATTGTTTTGTGTCGAAATGGACGCTTGAACGAGTTACACAACGCATTTCGTCAATTGAACAAAATTATTCGAATAGTGATCCAGTAACAGAAGCGATTTCTCCTGAAACTAGCGTTCACTCATATTTTAACATATTCACTATTACAAATGAGTGAGTTCCACTTTCATCGCCTGCCAATTTCACAAAATTTCTAATTTGGTTCCACATAGGTTAAACAATCATAGCAACGACGAAGAAAGATTATCGTTGTTGTTAAACTATCAACACCCGGCACTACATTGTCGAAAATGATCAAAAAGACTTACAAACGCAATAAACGAGAACAAGAAATCATTTATATCCGACCATGATAAGAACCAGGAAGATACTTAGGATGGTACTACTCCATTGACTGATGCCAAATCAAATTCTAGTCATCGACCAAACAAATGCAAGCGTCGCTGTTAGAGTATACTTCTTCAATAAATGATATTCATTACACAAATTTTTTTCTCTTTATCTTTCACATATTTTTCTTAAAAAAGCCTCATAAAAAATGAAACCGACATAAACTACTATCTTTTTTTTTCTTGCGTATTTTTTCAGATAAAAAACAATAGAAACATCCATTTATATGTACACTAATTCTACAAATTGGTTTCTATAATTATCAAAGCCAACAGATCAAATACTCGCATTATACAAATGGATCATGCACAAAACATAGCTTCTTTCAATCAGTCAATTCTACCACCTTACAAACAATTCGATCATACAAAAAAAATCACATCAACTG